TATGTATATATGTATATATATATATTTATGTATATATATGTATATATGTATATATGTATATATATATATTTATGTATATATATGTATATATGTATATATGTATATATATGTATATGTATATATATGTATATGTATATATATGTATATATATATATATATATGTATATATGTATATATATATGTATATATATATTTATATATATATTCAGACTCTTTCCAAAAAATTAGAATATCATGGAAAAGTTGTTTAACTTCCATAATTCCATTCAAAAAGTTAATCTTTAATAAATGATAGATTCAGGGCCCACAATTTAAACTATTTCAAGTCTTTATTTGTTTATTTTTACATAATTTGAGCTTCCAGCTCATGAAACCCATGAAAACTGGATTTAAAAAAAACATTATTCTGTGGAGACATCAGGCCAAATGTTGCAGGACATGAATGATTTAAACTGAGTGTGACACTAATCATCTACTAAACTCAAAGCACCTGCACAGGTTTCCCCAGGTGTCATTGATTCAGTTTGGTTCAATATGGTGAAGACTGCAGACAGAACATCTGTCCAGAAGACCATCATTGAGACCCTCCATAGGATGGGTAAGACACAAAAGTTCATAGCTAAGGAGGCTGGCTGTTCATAGAGCGCTGTGTCCAAGCACATCATTGGAAAGTCTAGTGGAAGGACAACATGTGGCAGGAGAAGATGCACCAGCAACAGAGATGACCGTGGGCTTCAGTGGATCATCAAACAGAGAAGATCCAGAATCTGTCAGAGATCCAGAATCTGTCAGAGATCCAGAATCTGTCAGAGATCCAGAAAGAGTGGAATGAGGCGGAGTCACAGCTTCAACAACCACCACATTCAGACTCATCCAGGAGATGAACTACAACTGTCGGGTTCCTCTTTTCCGATGAAAGTAAAGTGTCTTTCATTCAGAAATCAAGGTCCAAGGGTTTGGATGAAGAAGGGTGAGGAACAGAGCCCATACTGGTTGAGGTCCAGTATAAAATATCCACAGTCCGTCATGATCTGGGTGCAGTGTCCGGTGCAGGTGTTGGTAAACTCTGCTTTCTTCAATCCAAGGTCACAGCAACAGTCTACCAGAATGTTTTAGAGGACTTCATGAGTCCTTCTGCTGAGGGTCTGTATGGAGATGCAGAGTTCATCTTCCAGCAGGACCTGGTCCCTGCCCATGCTGCCAGAAGCACCAGAACCTGGTTTGAAGCCACAGCCTGACTGGCCAGCCAACTGGTCGGACCTAAACCCCATTAAGAATCTATGGATCTTCTCAAGAGGAACATGAGGAGCACCAGAGCAGCAACAAAGAAGATCTGACAGCATCAAGGAAATCTGGGCTTCCATAACTCCCAGTCAACGCCACAGGCTGATTGTCTCAATTCCATAACTCCCAGTCAA